ACCTTCTCTTAGAAATCATCTTGGTAGTTGTGTATTCATCTCACAAATTGAACCTAAAAATTTTAAAGAAGCCTAGTTTGATGAGTTTTAGATTCTAGCAATTAAAGAAGAACTAAATCAATTTGAAAGAAACCATGTTTGAGATTTAGTTGCTAGACCAAATGATCAAATCGTAATTGGTACAAAATGGATCTTTAGAACTAAATGGGATGAAAATGGAACAATTGTACATAATAAGGCTAGATTGGTGGTCTAACGTTACAATCAAGAAGAAGACATCGATTATGAGGAAATATTTGCATCGATTGCTAGATTAGGATTCATTCGCATGTTTCTTGCTTTTGCTTGTCATAAAAATTTAATTCTTTATCAAATTGATGTTAAAAGTGCCTTTCTAAGTGGTTTTATTCAAGAAGAAGTTTTTGTTGAACAATCTCTCGATTTTAAAGATCATAAAAATCCAGACTATGTTTTAAAACTTCGAAAAGCTCTCTGTGGTCTAAAACAAGCTCCTAGGGCTGGTATGAACGATTGATCAAGTTTCTAATTTCAAATGGTTTTTCAATTGGAAAAGCGGATACAACTCTTTTTGTTAAAACTCATAAGAACGATATGATCATTGTTCAAATCTATGTTGATGATATTATATTTGGTGCCACTAACATTCATCTTTGTGAAGAATTCTCTAAGTGTATGAGCATGAAATTTGAAATGAACATGATGGGAGAACTTAAATTCTTCCTCAGCCTCCAAATTAGCAAACTTGTGATGGAATCTTCATCAATCAAAGCAAGTACATTTTGGATATGCTCAAGAGATTCAACATTGATGATTTAAAATCAATGAACACCCCTATGAGCACATCCATAAAATTGGGTAAGGATGATCAATGTACATCTGTTGACATAGCAAAATATCGAGGTATGATCGAATCCCTTCTTTATTTAACTACAAGTAGATCCGATATCATGTTTAGTGTGGGTCTATGTGCTAGATTTCAATCAAATCCTAAATAATCACATCTCAAGGTCGTGAAACGAATCTTTAGATATCTTAGTAGCACTAGAACTTTATGGATTTGGTATCCTAAGGGCACTCACATTGATCTACTTAACTATTCAGATACCGATTGGGCCGGATGCACAATTGATCGTAAAAGCACTAGCGGAACATGTCATTTTCTAGGCTTT